GTTGTGCATCTAAGGCAGTTCAACTTACCACCTACTACAGTCTGAATTTAGCTTCACAGTGCCGAGAAAAAAAAGCTGGAATCCCAAGCAACCTCGAACACCAGGAAATGTCAGAAATTCCTAGAAGTTTTTGCAGTCAAGTTTGTTTTAAAAACACATAATTGCTTTAGGTTAAACTACAAGTAGTGGCTGATCTTCACTCATAATTTAACAGATCAAAACCTTACTCAAACTTATACCTACTCTCCCACGCGACAATCACAAGAATCGACTCACAGTTGACAATATTGCAAATCTTTTGAAGCTCTTTTGACCAAAAAATGCAGAGATTTTTAGGTAGAAAAGGTTGTGGAGATGTTCCAGTAGTAAAATGAAAGCAGTAAAACTTTGTATCCGAACCACGCAACCCCTTTTTTCACAATAAAAGGTAAAGCTTGTTTTGTTTTTTTACACTCGTTATTTTACATTTACGGAACGAGTAGTCCAGTGTTTTTATGCGATAACAGCGCTTCCCTATGAACTTTCCTTAAGCGACGTCGAATCCGGGGTCATTGTCTTAAAATGATGAAGTTGCAGAATATTTATAGGATCAACCTCAGCTCGTTCTGAAGTCCTTTTTCTGTTGTCATATAAAAGTCATCCTTCACCACAAATAACTATCTAGTCTAAAGATTAATCAGTTTTGAAATATTTTAAAAGGTTTCTGAAATGTTAAATACGCACCACCCGTTACGATCCTGTAATCTTATAAATTACTCATTATTTTTTCTTTTTTCCTCTGCGTTTAGATACTGCCGGACAAAAAAATTAAATTTCTAATATCACATTACGTCATCCCATTCCGAATTGACCTATGCTGACTGTCTCAAACTGTGACTTTCGGAGTGAGATAGTCTGTCGAAAGTTTAATCAACTTCCAACGGTTCATACCAATTTGCAAACCTCGTAAAATTCTTTTCACAAAACATCTTTCTCCAAATAGTTCAATAATTCTTCGGCTGGCTGTAACAGCATTACTTTCTTTCTGTCCCAGATAAAGGACAGTATTGGAAAATTGCACTGTTGCAGTCTAAATATGAAAAATACTTTGAAAAGTTTAAATATTTAAAAAACGTGTGTAACAAGAAAAGGAAGCAGACGATGTTTTTTCACTGAAACTACTCCTTCTTAAAACCTCCTAAAATCAAACGAGAATGGAAAGCAAAATTTTCAACTCAGCTATTATTCTCTTGCAATCTTTACAACTTATGCTCAGAAAACAAGACAACGTTACACCTTTGTCGATCAAAAATCGAAATTTCCGGCATCTGATTAGTATGCGCTACAAAACAAGTAACTTTACTTTCTTCAGAAAAAAATTTAATTTAAAAGCCTCTGGCGGCTGAAAAATTAAAATTCAAAAGTCGTATGCCATAAGAGTAACAACCGCTGAAATAAAAAAACTTATGAAAAAACGACACTGCTACCGCATTAGAGCTAAAATTTGTCGCTAAGTCAATTCTTGCGTTTGAACTAAAGCTCATCTCAGTTGGGAAAGTTAAGTGAGCTGTAAAATTCTTTTGAGTCGCTCTCTCCATCTTTATAAAAATTTAGTAGCTGCAATCACCATTCTTTTAGGAATCATACAGTGGAATTTCATTTATTCAGAACTACAGAACAATCATTGCAAAATGAGTTCCTTTTACAAAAAGTCTTTTGGAATAACTTATGCTCTCGCAATTTCTACTGCTTTGACTATAAAAAAAAACATTTGAAAAGAATTATTTGAAAGCTAAATGACACATGCGGCCTGTATACGAAGTTGATCTGAATCTTTGAAACTATAGTAAATAAGCAAACATTCCCTACATCAGGTTGCTAAGAAAAACGTAGCCTTACAAAAAGGTGTGAATGAAGTTCCATTATAACACTACGTCTTTAAAGAAAATGATGGCAAGTGCATAAATTTTCCATAATTGAGAAAATAAACTCAACTAAAATAGGAAATTAGCCTAAAAAAATGAAAAAACTAAAGATAAAAAATTACACTCCTTTGCTAAAATGCAAAACTGCATCAGCCTTGCATGCTGATTTGTAACAAATACTCAAATGATTGCTCAACAAATACCCGAATAATCCCTTTATCACTCGTAGTTTCAGTAATCTCTTCTCATAAAAGAAAAAACTGTTACTCAAAAAGTTTCTCCTGTCGAAGAACATACGGAGAAAAAAATTTACAAAGAAGAAAAAAGGACGCACGAAAACAGCAAGAAAAGGCAGGGGGAAGCAACTAAATAACTTATATAGCCGTAGACAAAAATACAACCAATATCCAAAATCCTCTTCTACTGCTATATCTTACTTCCCTCACTTCAGCACCGCCAAAAGCAAGCAAATTTTTTTGCTTCCGTTCGCTATAAAGTTAAGACATCGACTACGCTATCATTTTGCTATATAAATCCTTCGCAGTAAATACTTCTTTAATCACTTACCTAAACAATTTGAATCAATAAACTGTCGTGACAAGAAGCGTCAGAAGCAAAAGGTCTAAACGGTCAGTAAAGCAAACTGTAAAGCGTCAAACTGCATCAATTAGCGTGTACAAGCCTTAGATACTTTCCATTTTGATA